GTTTGTGCGACACCCAGCCTGAAGCCTCTGGAAGACTGCAAAGAGGCAGTGAAGCCAACAGCCTTTCCCTGTTTGGTATACTGAGGTAGACTGCTGCCGATCATGGAGATCCACTTAGCAGTTGTGACCAGCATTGGTAAATTGATTCATCCTCTGCGAAATATGCCTCCTTTTTAAAAGCCATCTTAGCTTCCAAGGGAAACCGGCTCTCTCCTCTCCCTGAAAAATAAGAAATGGTACATGTCTCATGTCTGTCTATTGTTTTGTATTGTCCGTCTTGTCTGTGCACGTATGTCACGGGGTCTGAGCCACTCCGTGTGTGTGTGTGTGTGTGTACCATGTTCCAGGACAACCAGCACATGTGATGGTAAATGGACGGAGAGTGCACTGCTTCCTGTCTGGGGGTGCGATTCTTTTGAGTCCTTTAGAAATGGCAGGCATGGCCCTCGCCGTCCGACATGTAACTCTGAGATAGGATTGCAGGGACTTTGTGCCTTCATTTCTTGTGCCTCGCGCAGCCCACTGAGATCAGGGCTGGTAGTTGCTCTTTGTTGCTGTTAGTCGCAAAGTCGTGTCCGACCCATCGCGACCCCATGGGCAACACTCCTCCAGGCCCTCCTGTCCTCCACCATCGCCCAGAGTCCACCTAAGCTCACACCGGCTGCCTCAGTGACCCCATCCAGCCACCTCATCCTCTGCCGTCCCCGTCTTCTTTTGCCCTCAGTTGTTCCCAGCATCAGGCTCTTCTCCAGGGAGTCCTTCCTTCTCATTAGGTGGCCAAAGTATCTGAGTTTCATCTTCAGGATCTGGCCTTCCAAAGAGCAGTCAGGGTTGATCTCTTCTAGGACTGACCGGTTTGATCTCCTTGCTGCATGTCTGTTTGCAGAGGGGCAAAGCTTTTTCCTTGCTGAGCAGAACGATCTCCAACAGCCTCGGGCAGCAGCCGCTCAGGAATGAACACCTGCTGTGGTCACCTTCTGAGCCATTGCTCTCTGCTTCCAGTTGGAGAGCAAGCCCTTTGTTTCCCCAGGAGAAATCCGCACGGCCTTTACACTTCCTTCCACGCAAAGGTTGCTCCTCTCCCGGTGCCAAAATCGTCAGGCTTCTCGGGTTTGCTTTCACACAATGACGTCCCTCTGACTAAAACCTCCTGTTGTTCTCCCTCTGCCCCACACCCTCTCCCTGCCTTCCCTGCCAACTTTTCCCAGCTCTTTGGTATTCCAAGTCTGGGGAAGAGAGAAGGGAACGGAAGCCAGGCACTTGAACCCTTGGCAGGGCCTAAAAGGACAAGCTGAATGCAGCCACTGACCCCTCAGCGAGTCTTTCCTCTTCAGAGGCCTCCGCTGCAAGATACTGGAGACACGGGGGACCCCTGGATGCCATCTGGGGCAGCCCCTTTATCCCCAAGCCTTCCCAAAGAGATATAGCCACATGACTCAGCAGAGATAACAGGCCGAATTCACATTCTCGTTTTTATTGCTTTATTATACTAATTAAGCAGCTGATGTGAACACTTGGGAAGCTGGGGGTGGGGGGAGCAAAAGGCAGCAGCTCCGACAGACCTATCAAAACATCCTGGTTGCCAGGTGCAAAATCACTATCTCTGTGTTGGATCCATTATGTATATAAAATGGCATCCCCCCCACCTGACATGAGATGCAGGTTTTGGTACATCCTAGGAGGTAGCCTCCCCCCACCCCAAAAAAATCTTTAGAAAATAAAGAGAGACAATGGGAAGTGAGGCTGCCAAAGAGGAATGAGGACAGAGGATGTGCAGACCTCACTGGGCTTGTGGTGCTGTCAAGAAAGAGGGGCTGGGGGCGGGGGGGGAGACTGAAGCCCTGAACTCGGCACTGCAACTCTTTGCTGCAGCCTTTGCTAGGTGGGGTGCATATTTAGAAGCTTTCCAGGTTGGGATTTTCTGGCATGCAGAGAGCCAGTTGCCTCTTCTCACCTTTTCCCCAAAACTCAGCAGACCTTTGCCTGGCACCCGCTGGAACTGGGGACTCAGTGACATGCTTCGGCATCCCAGCCAGAAGCAGGACCCCAGCCAAAGGTGCATGCCCCCCCGCGTGAGCTGCGCATGTGCAGTGCACTGGCTGCGCATGTCCACGTGGCGCCCTTGGTCCCTTTCCATAAGCTTTGCACTGAGGGGCACGAGATGGGATGGATCAGAGGAGACCTACTGACCTGTGGTGTTCCACCCAAAGTGGGTTGGCCCCGGTCTGGTCTGGGGTGACTTTAACATTTGTAGGGTCTGTCAGGCACTTGTGGGCAGCTGTTAGCTGCAAGAGCTACATGGAACCTCCAGGGTCAGAGGCAGTCTATCTCTAACTCTTACTTGCCTGGGGCAGGAGGGAAAACAGAAGGTGACGCTCTTGTCCTCATGTTCTATTTCTGGGCTTTTGCAAGCTCTCGGGTTGGCTGCTGTGGATGGCCACTGGACCACAGAGCCGTGGTCTGATGTTAGGATGCGGAGACTTTGGGCACGATCCTGCGTTTCATCCCCGGAAATGGTGCTGCACAGCCGGCCGGTCTTTCCATGCCTATATTATTCCTCTCGGGGCCAAGACTGGAAGGACGCAGACTTTTCCAAGGCCACCTCGTGAGTTTATGGCTGAGGGCGGGTGCAAAGTCAAACCACCACCCTGGAAAGCCACCCGAGCGTTGTCTCGTCCGCCCCTGCCGCTCGGTGCAGGATGCGGCTGCTGCAACCTGGACAGAGGGCCGTGCAGCTGCTGCGGGAGAGCCTCCGGCACACCTCGCGGGCACTGGGGGCCCGTCTTGCCCTGACCCAGCCGCACGCGCGAGGCCATATGGCTGCTGGTGATGTCAGGCGGGCTGGGCGGCGCCGGCCGCCAGTGCCAGCAAGTCCCAGCTGGAAGCTCCGGCCCGCTTCCGGCCTCAGTGCTGGGAGAAGCTTTGCACTGGGAAACAATGGCTATTGATCACCCTCAGCCTCCTTATCTGCCTGGCATTGTTCTGATGGGGCTTTTATGTCTCCTGTGGGCTAGGAAGGAGCCCTGTGTTTGCTTTGCCTTGTCCGTCCCTGGGCCCAAACAGCGAAAGGCTGAGAAACATGGAAAGGAGCAGGGCTGGAGCTTAGGAGGGGATGGGCCGGCTGCTTCCCAGAACTGTTTTTCAGTTCATTCCGCACCCCGAGAGAAAGTCAAAGTTTCTAGTCCCTTTGCTTGTGGGTTAATTAAGGGGAAGCGTCGCAGCAACTTATGGAGAGGGAAACGTGTCCATATGCTAACCAGCTGCCCCTGAGTGGAAAAGCAGTGTGAAACTGACGAACAAAAGGGCATGCTTTTGTTCAGTTAAAGGCTTAATATTACTGGCGTAATTCAACAACTTTGCAGCTAGCGGGCTGCTGCTTTGGCATGGTGGGGGTCTTGGGGGGATCTCTGCACCATTTTCTGGTTGACTTGGCATGTGTGAGTGTGCATTCACAAGTGCACGTGCACCTGCCCCTCCCCCGTGCTTGCACTATTCGTCTCTAGTACCACCAGTGCCCCAACATGGGGCACAAGATCAGGACTTCTTGCTTTTCATTTCCAAATGGCTGGTCCATGCAGCACTAGCAGGTAAATCTTGCTGCTTTTTGCAGCTGGCGCTGGGAAAGCGGAGGAGAGCCAACACCTGGCTCTTGGCTTCGGGTGCAGGAGCTGCACCTGGCATTGGATGTGAGAGCCGCCCCCACCTGTGGGGGCTGCTCTGCCTGGCCATCGTCCGTCCCGCCATCCTTGGTTATGCAGAACTCGGGGCCGGAGTGAGACTGCGGAGAAAGCAGCGTCTCTCACAACCATGGCTGAAACATTGCGTTGGGTTTTGGTGAACGCCTCCCGGGCTCCTTTGGGTGCGTCTCTCAGGGTTGCCTATTTGGAACATGTGCACCAAGCAAAAACGAGGTGGCCAATCTGTGCTCAGAAATATTCCTGGTATTCGGACAAACGATTTTGGTCCGGAGACTAAAACAACAGATTGAATTGTCATATGTGCGGTTTTCCCCACTGGCTGGCTTGCAGCCCTGTGGGGAAAGAGCATAATGCGCTCTATGCGCTTCATTCCAGGAGACGGAACAAATCGATGCGGCCAGGGTTATTATGAAGCATCGGTGTAACAGCAGTGGGACTTTGGAAATGTACTGATTTCTGCTCCCAAGTCAGGGATGTGAAGTAAAAGCACCACTGAACATGTGCAGAGTGCACTACTTACACCTCTGAGAATGTGCAGCAGACTCTTGACTTTGGGGATAATGAGGCACATTTCCAGCCTTGCAGGGACATGTGGCTTTTACGCATTCCTACTCACACCTACAGTGGGAGTAGGCAGATCATTTGAGACCTACTGAACAATCTCTAGGTGGTTTTCAGTGGTTTGGCAAGTGTTGTTGTTATTACATTATATTTCTATACCGCCCGTAGCCGAAACTCTCTGGGAGGTTCACAACATTTAAGTCACCCATCCTGATTTCAACCAGGCCCGACCCTGCTTAGCTTCCAAGATCAGGCAGGGTCGGGCACTTCAGGCTATAGGCGGTGTTTCCTCCCTGTGATTTAGCAGGGAACAGAAAAAATGGCTGTTCCCACCTAAATGAGGCTGCTGAAAGGAAGAGAGCTTGCAGCACTCAGGAACGGGCTTCTGCGGGAAAGGGCTGTCAGCTCGGTTCACAGATTCCTAGGGCTCAGCATGTGTGTATCCAGAGGCACCCTTGCTTTTTAATGCTAAATGTGTGGGGTATTGCAAACACTGAGTGGATCTGAGGGGTCTAAAAAAAGCAAAGAAAACAGATCTCCCACGCTGGAAATTCTGGTGGGGATCTTGATTTTGCTGGACCAGTTTCTTCCCTCTTGCCATGTAGTTGAAAAGCACCGTATCTGCCGGTGGGGAGAGTGAGACTTTCGCTCCCGGGCCGGGACGTGCTCCTTCCCGTCGTTCACGCCAAGCCAGATCAGGCCGTGCCCTTGACCCTTGTGCGTTTTTGGTTCCCTCTCCAGATGTATGGCCGCTACACGCAGGACCTGGGAGCCTTTGCTAAGGACGAAGCGGCCCGCATCCGGCTGCAGCAGGAACGCTGGAGGCCGCACCCCAAAGAGCGCCTGCGCCCCTCTGAGTTGCTGGAGTACGACCACGGACGCTGCGCACGGTGCCGGAGTAAGTGGCGAAAACGTGCCTCGATTCCTGCGGCCGCTTTGCATGGAAGCAGCTGCGCATTGCGGGTTCCGGAGCTCCCACTAGCTCCCCAGAGCCGGACCAGGAGCACGGGGGCTCCTCTTTGGGAAGCCGTGGGTCCACTCATGTCCCATGGCTCGCTGCTTCGCATAAGTGTCAGGACATCACCAGCCTGGACCTTTTGCACGCACACAGATGCGTCTGTACCCTTAAGAAGACTCGCCATGCGACGTTGTGCTCGGTTGGTGTTTCTCGTGAGACGGACTGGGTTTTGTTGCGTCTCTTGCACACGCATTGTGGTGCTCAGTCGCTCTAGCAGGGGGTGAGCCAAAAGTCGACTGCGGTCCACTGGTTTGTCTCTAGGTGACTTGCATAAATCAGCAAGGGTTTTTGACTCCTACTTTAACAATGGCAAGTTAAAGTTCAGTCAGTTAAACCATGCTATAATTAGTTAAACTATAGCATGGTTGAGTTAGGTGGCTGCCAGTTTGGACCACCGAATTCCTATAGGGAAGGCTCTCCTTGGCTACTAGTCCTGATGGCTCTATGCTGCCTTCAGGATCGGAGACAGGATGCCCGTGGACAGCAGTTGCTGGGGAACATGGGTGGGAGGGTGCCACTGCACTCACATCCTGGTTATGAGCTCCCTGGCGGTCTCAGATTGGCCATTGCATGCACAGAAAGCTGGACCAGACGTACCTTGGGCCTGATCCAGTCTCGGCTCTTCTTACGTCCTCGTACTGTTACATTCAAAGCACCTGGCTTGCTTATTTTAGCCTCTCTGTTCCTCACCTGTAAAACATGAACATGGATGGGCTGCCTCTGGCCAGGACTTCCTGTCTCTGTCCCGGCCACTCTGGGGTCCACTTTACTGTAGACTTCTACTTTTTATCTCCAGCAACCCTCCATCACCTACTGCCTTCCAGATATTTGGGGCTACAACTCCCAGCATCCCCAGCCAATCTGGCCGTGCTGGCTGGGATTCACTGGGATTGTAGTCCGGTGCATTTGGAGGGCACCAAGTTGGAGAGGCTGGAATGGGAGCAGGACGTAAGCGACACTTTCCCCGCCGTCCTTTTCCCCGAGCTCTGAGCGCAGGGCCTTGGCTCTCCAATGAAGAAGCCAAGCTGAGCCACATGCTGAAGACCCTTTCCCTGCCCCTGTTCTCATGCTGCCCTCAGTGCATCACACCCAGCTTGCTTTGCACAGGTGCCCCCTTTCCTGCCCTCCCATCTCCACGGCTTCTCTCAGCTGCTTCTTCCGGTCTCCTCCACCTCCCCTTTCTCTGCCAGCCGCTGTCTTTTGCAGGAAACCCACCCAGCCCTCTCTAACAATAGGCAGGGTATTCATGACCGGAGCCTGGGCCTCTGGCACCATCCCTGGCATGGACGGGCATGCAAGCCCCTGAGCCAGCCGGGGATACAGTTTCTCACTGCTCCGTATTGGGCACTCGGAGGAGCCCAAGGTCAGAGAGCTGCTGCCGTATCTCTCCAGTCAGACGCTCCCCCTCAAAATCGCCAGCGGTCTCGGGCACTCTGGCTTGTCCATAAGGGGCATGTTCTTGGAAAAAAGGAGCTGTACATCCTTCGTCTCTGTTTCTTCCTTTGTTATGCTCCTGCACTGCCTAATAACCAAAGCACTCTGAGCACTTGAAACCCCAAAACACAACATGATGCAGCACAATTTAAAAGCGCAGAACTATCTTGTTTGAAACATCCCTGTTACGCCTGTGCGGGGACAGCTCTGCTCTGCTCTGGCCTGCCAGAAGATCAGGAGAACTTCCCTTGGGGGGCTTCCACTGTGGAGCAGAGAGGGAAGCCCCCCTCCTCATGGGACGCTGCAGGATCATGGGGCCATTGGAGCCGAGAAGGCTGGGAGTTGGCTCTGATCCGGCCACGGCGGGTCGCAAGCAGAGTAAGCGGCACGCCTCGAAAGTTACCCGCTCCCCAGGAGGACGAGTCTGGGTGTGTTGTTGGTTGCGTTCGTGGCACGTGCTGGGCGAACAAGTGCTTTCCAGTGCTCGTGCACTCAAGGCTGGGAGCTTCATGGGGCCAGAAAAACTCGCTCCGTGCCTGCAGTACCAGCAGGGATGGGCAAGGGAGTTCCCGGTTCTTTGATGCTGAGGCAGGATGAACAGAAAGTGGGTGGGTATCAACCGGTGGATCTGCACATTCAGGGTTTCAGGCTGGGGGCCAGGTTTGGCCCTCGGAGGGTCCCAGTCCGGTCTCCTTGGAGTCCTTCCTCCCTTCCTGCTACCACTGTTGCTGGTTTTCTGATGCAGTCTTTTCTCCATCCTACCTGTCCAAGGGTTTGGCCTCAAGCTGAAACATGCTGGCATTTTTGGCCCTCTCGCCATTGGAACGAGGCCCTTGAACATGTTACTGTAAGCCGTCCCAAGACGTTCTGTAGGGAACAGGATAGAAAGCTTTAAATAAATACATAAATGTTTCCAAAACGGAATTTGGCGCTTGGGCGGAGAAGGTTCTGCACCCTTGCGTGATGGGTAAGTAGATCAACAGAGGTTTCTCCCTTCCCAGTTGCTAAATGATAGCTGCTTTTGTGTCCCAGTTAGATCAGCTGCTGCACCTCCAGTCCATGAGCCCTGGTAAAAATACAGAGTGATTCCCAGTAGGGGCACTGTTGCAGAGTCCTACACACAGGGAGGCCTCCAGCCGTGCCCATGATTGTTTTCTAGTCCTCTTCAGAGAAATATTTTTAGTTTAAAGATTTGGAAAATACACGGATGGCAGGTTGTCCTTTCTGTTCCTCAACCTGCCACTGATCAGCTGCTGGGGGCAGGGATAGGAAGAGACAGAAGGAATTGCTTCTTGGCCCAGTCTCGTCTTCTGTCCACGCAGACAGTCCTTCTTTGGTGTCTCCAGCCCCACTCTATGCTTGCCATTTCTTTCCACCAGCCTCTTTCCAGGCATTCCTCTCTCCTTTCCATCCCTGCCTGCCTTCTCCTCACCCTTCCTAGCACCCGGCCTCGCTCTTGTTCTCTCACTCACCGCAGTTCCTCTTTCCCTCTCTGTTTCTCCCCTCTCCTAGTCTCTAGCCTTGCTTTTCATCCCCATTTCCCCGGTCCCTTTTCTTCCTCTTTCTTGCCCCCATAGAACTTCCTTCTGCTCTTCAGTCCCCAGCCCTGCTGTGCTTCAAGTTCTCTCATTTCTCAGACACAGACATGGAACGTCCTGGGCAGAGGCTGTGATGATGGAGGTGGAGTGCAAGCTGCGGAATGGGGTGGCTGAAGAAAACTTCTCTTTTTCTTTCGGGGATGGGGAAAGATTTGTGTGTATATTGGATCAGCAGAACAATCCTAGACAGGCCTCTTCCAGAGTAGTTCCGGTGGAGTTCCATGTACACATATTTTCTTGTATGCCTATTTCTGTGTTCCTGGGGAACCCAATAATCTAATGAGCTCTGACCAGTCCTTTTGCTGGCAGGCAGTTTCTTGAGTGACACACGGCTCAATCTTAGGCATTCCTAGACAGAGAAAAAGGCCTACAGGGGCCAGTGTCCTCCAGCCAACACATGCCTTTACTTGGCCTTTTCACTAGCCAGGCCTCAGTGGCAGCACTTCCATGATCAGCCAACCATATTGGCACCCCGGGAGCCATGTTGTGGTGGTGCCCACGGCGGTTTCCCAGATCCCCCAAAGTCCCCATGCTTCCAGGACGCTTATTGTTGCTACGTGCTGGCAAGTTGTCTCCGAATGAATGAAAGCCCCAAAAGGTGCCCTCCATGGCGGCCCCACCCAGCTCTTCCAAGTTCTAGGCTGCGGCTGCCTTGACGGAGCCCATCCATCCCGTATTCGGTCTTCCCTTTCATCTTCCGCCTTCGACTTTCCCCTTTCATGATGTCTCCCTATTATGACCACCTCCGTTTTGCCGTTTTTGCTCTCAGGGAAAGCTCCGGCTTGAGTTAATCTCTGTTGTGTCCTACCCAAGAAGCCTCCCCCATATATAGGATCAATATTTATTCAAGACTGGAACAAGTTAAAACAACACATTACAATATCTGCACACGACTCTACCATGCCCTACTTCCTGGGTTATATATAAGCCTTGTCTTGCAGAAGCAGATCCTTTAAAGAAACATAGCTAAACACCACCATCTAGGACCCTCTTGTTCATCTTCCTGTCAGGCCGACGTATTTGCAAAGCGCTCTTTCAGCATCATGGTTCGAATGCATCCATTTTCTACCTGTCAGCTTTCTCCTTTCTCACCCATCCTTTTGCGATTGGGAATACCATATAGTGCATGATCTTGGCCTTCATCTCCAGTAACACACCCTTACACGGCATTATTTTTCTACTTCCTTCATTGCCGCCTTGCAAATCTCAGTCTTGTTCAAATTTCTCAGAGCCGCAGTCTCCCTTTGAATCAGTGACTGAGCCGAGGTGTGCAAAATCTCCCACGATTTTGATTTCTTTGTTATTAACAATAAAGTTCTGTAATTCTTCTGTGGATATTATTTTTGTTTTCTTAATATTCGGCTGCAGTCCTGCTTTTGTACTTCCTTCTTTCACTCCTGTCAGGAGTCATTTCAAGTCATTGCTGCTTTCTGACAATAGTGAAAGGTGTCATCTGCATATCTTAAATTTATCATGTTTTCCTGCCAGGTTCCTCCTTCCTCCGATTCTAATCCAACTTTTCTTATGATATGTGCTACGGACCGAGTGAACAGAGAGAGCGATAAAATGCATCCTTTTCTGGCCTCTTTGTCAATGGGGACACCAGAAATAGATCCTGCCAGCCGGAAACCTGCGCATGTCTGTAGTAAACCTTCCCTTCTCATCCCAGAGGGATGGTTTTTGTAGTCCATTACTGCACAGCTAGGGGCCCAGGGCCCTAAAGTGGGTCCCAGTAGCTTTCCATCTCACCCACAGCGAACATCCTTGTCCCAAGAGCACCTCCTTGAAATGCAAGCGATACTGTTTCAGGAGCTGAAATTCAGGTAACTCACATGCTGCCCATAGCAG